CGGCCGTCTTTGTCTCTCCCAGTGGCGATGTTTACTACACATCGCACCAGGCATTCGTTGGAGGCCGAGTCGACCTAGGGTAGGGGCTGGAATCGGTTCAGATAATCGTCACGGGTGTTGGCCGTGAGCGGGAAATCTGTCTGTGTGTGTGTGGTGGTGTCTTGTTACCCTATACTCTTGGGAGCTTGGTGGTGGTGGGGGTTGTTGTTGTTGTTTTCCACGCACTTTCTGTTTAAAGGTGGCGTTGTGTCGCCACTTTGGAAGGGTTTAGCCAGAGATCAATCGATTTAATTTTTGGTCCGCGTTTTGGGCGACTGAGAAAATGGGAGACGTCTTTCTGGCGTTGCTTGGCACAAAGAGCAGCAGCAGCAATTGGGGCGTTTGGGTCGATTCGATGTTGGTAATCGGCTAGCACAGAGCAGCAGTCACCTGAACGGAGTTGAGCCACTTTTGTGCGACTTGCCCGGGTCAGGGATTTTTCGTCGTCTGCTATGCGTGGGGGGCAACCCCCCTAGCACGACATTGGGGGCTTGTAGGCGTTCAGGCAGTGCATGGTGGCAGCGGTGTGCATGTGGTTCAACATTGTTTTGGTGGTGCTATTTGGTGGGAGAGCATTTAAAGTCGATTGCACGCTGGTAGAGCTGAAGGGGAAAGCAATGTGGATTTAATTTTCCTAGCAGGTTGCAGGGGCGGCTTTGAGTCGCTTTGTCGGCGAATAATGCTTCTGATTCTGAAGTAAAAAAGTGGCCAGTTGGCTTCTTTAAAGTTGTAACACAAGCGGTTTTTAGGAGTTTGTGAAGGCTTGGCGGCTTTGAGGTGGTCGAATCCAAGGAACGTTAAAGACTTGCCAGTGGATTGACGAAAGGAGGTTTCTTGACGCTATTCAGATATCTAGTGAGGATGAAAAAGGGCCAGATGACGGAACTCTGGTTCGATACTTGTCATTGAGTACCCCATAGGGAGAGCCGTTCAAGATATCGGCAATAAGGTAGCCACGTGCATCTGTGGGGGTGGTGGTGGGGGGGGGGGAGAGGTGATGACGTCAGCATGCACGAACCCCCGCCGTGACGTCACCACGCACACATGCGCCGTGACGTCTCCGCCGCAGACTTTGCCCGCCTGCGCTGCAGCCAGCCCAGCCAGCAAAACTGTTTTTCCAACAACAGCAGCAGCAATAATAATATAAGTGCGCCCTGTCATCTGGAGAGTACGGGATAAAGGCGCAGCCCTCAAAGTGCGTGTTCAATGCGTGGCTGGCGGCAGCCACATCCACGAGAGAGATAACGTTAGAGACTAACCTCCCCCCGCACGCTCTAGGAGGGTGCTTAGGCCTACTCTTCCACGCCGGTCAGACGGTTTGCTCGTGCGCCAACGCAGCAGCGTCGCCACATTTCCCTATTTGTACGCATTTAAAACTCAAACTAATATCTAAACGTCGTGATATATTTTTTATTCACTTTATTTTGTATTCTTATTATTATGCTTTTCTCTCTGCGTGACTTTACCGAAAGAACCAAAGAATATAATGAACGCATTTTTAATTCGCCAAATAAGGCCCCGCTGAACCTTACAGCTCTTTGTCAGAAGCCACCACCTGGCTATCGCAAATGACAGCTCAACGACGTGGGCTCATCATCATCATCGTTGCGTGGAAATGTACAGCAGCAGGATTCTTCAGGGTCGAACCCACGACCTCCTGTACACCAGGCGAGGTAGTCAACATCTCCTAGCCACCGTGATGATGATGATGAGAGAGACGCAGACTCCAAATATACAGCAGCAGGCATCGTCAGGGTCGGGATCGAACCCACGACCTCCTGTACACCAGGCGAGGTAGTCAACATCTCATAGCCACTGTGATGATGAGAGAGAGAGACACAAACTCCAAATATACAGCAGCAGCAGGCATCGTCAGGGTCGGGATTGAACCCGTGACCTCCTGTACACCAGGCGAGGTAGTTAATATCTCGCGAGATTAGTCAAACTCTCGCCACGGCGGCGCTCATTTGACGGATTCTGTGAGTGTCATTGTATTATTATTAATTATTATTATTAACCTCGGAGCGGCGGGGGGTCATATTCTTGGTTCTTTCGATAAAGTCACGTAGATAGAATTTTTTTTGAAAGTATAAAAAATGTGAAAATAATAAAATTCAAAGTAAAAAAAAAGACGTTGAAAGTAATAAAAGCAAAAAGCCTACGACGTTTCGATAGCAACATAAGCGGTCTTCATCAGGCGGAGAGAAAAGAGGGTCACGTCCCACCTGGCCTGGGATTGGGGTGGGGTTGGTGGGGGCAGGGAGGGGAGGGGCAGGGAGGGGAGGGGCAGGGAGGGGAGGGACAGGGAGGGGAGGGGCAGGGAGGGGAGGGCCAGGGAGTGGGGGCAGCGGATTTGCCCCCCGGCTCCCCCAGCCCTGCCCCCCCCCTCCCTCTCCCCATTCCGGTTCTGCTGTTTGTGTTGAGGCCGCCCTCTGGAATGCTTCGCGGATTCCTGCCCCGAGACTTCACCTGACGCCGAGAAATAACGGCGGCCCGATTGACCCCGGGTGACCTCACGACTCGTTTGACCCCGGGTAACCTCGCGACTCGTTTGACCCGGGTAACCTCACGGCCCGTTGACCCCGGGTAACCTCACGACCCGTTTGACCCCGGGTAACCTCACGACCCGTTTGACCCCGGGTAATCTCACGGCCCGTTTGACCCCGGGTAACCTCACGACCCGTTTGACCCCGGGTAACCTCACGACTCGTTTGACCCCGGGTAACCTCACGACCCGTTTGACCCCGGGTAAACTCACGGCCCGCTTGACCCCGGGTAACCTCACGACCCGTTTGACCCGGGTAACCTCACGGCCCGTTGACCCCGGGTAACCTCACGACCCGTTTGACCCCGGGTAACCTCACGACCCGTTTGACCCCGGGTAATCTCACGGCCCGTTTGATCCCGGGTAACCTCACGACCCGTTTGACCCCGGGTAACCTCACGACTCGTTTGACCCCCGGTAACCTCACGACCCGTTTGACCCCGGGTAACCTCACGGCCCGCTTGACCCCGGGTAACCTCACGACCCGTTTGACCCCGGGTAACCTCACGGCTCGTTTGACCCCGGGTAACCTCACGACCCGTTTGACCCCGGGTAACCTCGTGACTCGTTTGATCTCGGGTTACCTCACGGCCCGTTTGACCCGGGGTGACCTCACGGCCCGTTTGACCCCGGGTAACCTCACGGCCCGTTTGACCCGGGGTGACCTCACGACTCGTTTGAACTCGCCCGGGCCTGAACCGCACCGAACTCGCCTAGGAGGTCACACAACGAGAAGACCAAGAAGCAGAAACTTTCTCTCTCCATTTCGCTAACGAAACACCAACACACACACACCCGCAACATTTTTTAAAATTCATAAACCCCTCCACATTCGGCGATTCCGAGTCAGCGAGCCCGGCAAGAGACAAAGGCCCCCCGTGTAGCCTGAACCCGCCGGCAGGGCAAGTGCTGTTAACGAGCACCTGCGAAGGCCGACCACGGCACAACGGAAGGGTGGTGTGGCCGGACCCACCCCGGCGATGATGCTTGGACGCAGCGTGTGTGGGGGGTTTACGTTCTAAGGCTGCGCTGACCTGGGGGAGGGCCTCAGGCACGGCCCCGTTGTGAATTGGTCGTGAGCCGGCATCGAACTCGGATTGGCCGGTTTCGTGACCACCGCCCCCCGTAACCGCGCACTCTGACGCTGCACGCACCTTAAGGGCACCGTGGTAGCTAGGAGGAGATGTTGACTACCTCGCCTGGTGTACAGGAGATCGTGGGTTCGATCCCAACCCCTACGCCTGCTGTATATGTGTAGTTTGCGGGGTCTCTCTCTCTCTCATCATCATCACGGTGGCTAGGAGATGTTGACTACCTCGCCTGGTGTACAGGAGACCGTGGGTTCAATCCCAACCCCGACGCCTACTGCTGTATATTTTAAGTGTGTGTCTCTCTCATCATCATCACGGTGGCTGGGAGATGTTAACTACCTCGCCTGGTACACAGGAGCTCGTGGGTTCGATCCCAACGCCAACGCCTGCTGCTGCTGTTGTATATCTGAAGTTTGCGGTGCGTCTCTCTCTCGTTCTCCGTTGTCGCGTGGATTTTTCTCCGGGTCCTCCAGTTTTTCCTTTAAACTTTTAGAATCCACGTCGCGCGTTTAGAGTCTTTAGCTGCTGCTGTGAATGTCCGCGCGGTGATGATGAGCCCACTTCATTGAGCTGTCATTTGTGATAGCCAAGGCGACTTCTGGCAAAGAGCTGTATAGCTCAGTGGGCCTTACCTGGTGAAATAAAGAAGTAATATTTAAAACAAACTTTTTTTTAAACACGCTTTTGTGAAATGTACTTGTAATGGCAGAACTCCACGAACTCCAGGAAGTGGGCCCGAAGCTTGCCACAACGTAAGGGGACCGTGGCCAATTACAGCCAACGTCAGTTGAGCGTGGACATTTAGACCCAAGCCGAAACATAACATATTTAAAAAATGCATATATTTTGTATTTTAATTTTAATGATAGAATATAGTATTGTCATCAGTATGACATAAGTATACCAAGTATTCAGTCGATACCACATTGGGAAATGGGTTAACATTGCGTTACAAGATTTGAGGATACAACAACAACAGACAGTGAGTTAATAAAAAGCGTGTAATAATAATAAAGTTAGTTTAGATAATCCTTTAGCCACATAGCCCGAACCCTAACCACATGGTGATGGTGGTGGTGGTGCTGATGATAATGGTGCTGATGATTGTGATGATGGTGATGATGACGATGCTGATGTTGGTGGTGATGATGGTGGTGATGATGGTGATGATGATAATGATGCTGATGATGGTAGTGCTGATGATAGTGCCGATTTTGATGGTGATGATGGTGATGCTGATGGTGATGATTATGATGAAGATGCTGATGATGATGCTGATGATTATGCTGATGATGATGGTGGTGCTGATGGTGGTCTCCGTGTAGATGCGTGTCCGTGCGGATAGCCCCTGGCCGTCGTTGTACCTCCTCATCATCACCTCGTCGCTCCTGCGTCCCGCTGTGACGCGACCGGGGCCGGCGTCGCGAAGCGACGAGGTGAGAGAGCTGCGGGGTCAGAGGTCAACCTCATCTGGAGCGGAGGAGGCATCGATGTCGTCATCATCATCATCGTCGCCATCGTTACTGTTCTTGTTATCATCTGGACAAGCATCATCATCAGCACCGATGAAGTCATCTGTGTCAGAATCATCATCATCATCATCATCATCGCCATCATCATCATCATCATCAAGAAGACCATTACATACATTTTCATCAGTTTCATTATTTACAATGCCATCATCTTCGTCGTCATCATCACCACCGACATCAGCAGGTCCAGTACAAGCGTCATTATTAAAATCATCATCATCATCATCACCAGGCCTAGTAGCATTATACTTATCGGAAACAACATCATCATCCTTATCAGCCAAATCGTCATCGCAGAATCAGCAGCAGCTGCTACAAATATCACAGCGTAGAGTACAAGATCATCATAACCGTCTTCAGCAGCAGCATCAGCAGCATCAACAGCAGCATCAACAGCATCATCAGCATCAGCAGCAGCATCAGCAGCTACCGAGGCAACTACACGTGCCATTTAGACGTCAGCATCACATACAGCAGCCAATTCTCCAAGAGCAATATCAGAAAGGGTCCAGACATTACGCTCATTATCATCATCATCAGCAGCACCGGCACCATCACTGCAATCCTCATCAGCATCAGCATCATCAAGGGCCTCCGCACCGTCGCGTGCGACGCGAGGCTCTGACTGTGATGAGACAGGGGATGGAGTCCAACCACCATGATCATCATCAGCAGCCACAGCAGCAGCATGAGCAGCAGAAGCAGTATCAACAACAACAGCAGCAGCATCAACAGCATCATCAGCAGCGTCCGCAACAGCATCAGCAGCAGCATCATCATCAGCAGCATCAGCAGCAGCAGCATCAACAGCATCAGCAGGAGGAGCAGCAGCAGCATCATAAGCAGCAGCATCACCAGCATCACCAGCATCACCATCAGCAGGAGCATCGACAGCACCACCACCACCGTCAGCAGCAGCAGCAGCGGCGGCGGCGTGAGCCGTGTCGCCTACGCCAGGTGGCCGTGACCGTCAGCGAGCTGGGCCTGGGCTACGTCTCCCAGGAGGAGTTCCTCTTCGGCTACTGCGAGGGCTCGTGCCGCGAGCGACGCGACACCTACGACCTCGTGCTGGAGCAGCTCGTGCGCGCGGGCACCGTGGACGCGCCGGCTCACGCCTCGCCCTGCTGCCGCCCCTCCGCCTACGTGCCGCAGCCCTTCTTCACGGTCGACCACGTGGCGGGGTACGTGATGCACGCCGAGGCCTGCGCTTGCGTCGGCGCCTCCTCCTCATCCTCCTCGTCGTCCTCCTCCTCGTCCTCGTCGGCGGCGGCGGCGTCGGCGGCGTCGAAGCGGCCGCTCGTGAAGAAGTCGTCATCGTCGATGTGGTCGGAGGAGGACGACGACGAGGAGGAGGAGGAGGAGAGGCCCTGAGACGAGCCACTCGCCCGAGCTCGCTTTGTTATCGTTGTCACCACGACGGCGGCGGCGAAGACGGTGAAGACGGCGAAGATGACGACGGCGGTGGCGGCGGTGCTGGTGGTGATCGATAGCGGACGACTGCGAGACGTTCACGAAGACGGCAGCCCCTGCAGTTGTATCCTCGTGTCCCTGCTGTCGGGTGGTGGGGGTGGGGGGTGGGCGGCGGTGTTTGTGGGCCGACTCTTCGGCGCCCGCGAGACGTCTCGCCAGGAAGCGCCGAGTTCGCACAACTTCACCCCGCGAGCCACCGGTCGGCTGAACCGTGGTGAACGCGTTCACGTTCACGCTGCTGCTGCTGCCACGAGGAGAAGAAGGAGGAGGACAGAGGAGGTGGTGGTGGTGGGCAGTGAAGAGGAGGAGGAGGGGAGGAGGATTTAAAAAAAATGATCTCCATCACTCCGCCGCTGATGTTGGGGTCCGCTGGGTCCGTGCCGCGCTGAAAGCCAGTGGCACCACCGGTGGTCACTCACACTTTTGTTATTTATCCCGATGACGACCTCGTGCGAAATGTACAACTCTCAAGAGACTACAAGAAGAAGGAGAACGCTTTAACATTATATATTTATATCGTAACTATTGTGACTTTGCGGCGCTTTCGATGACGTCTTTACGCGATTTCACGTCGGGTTTTCCGTTTTAATCGACCAGATTGGCAGCACGTTGAGATCCCTCGTACTAAGCCACGACAATTAGCGTACGCTCCGGATTGTAACACGCATTCTTGCCCACTCCCGTCACCCACCCCCCGACTGCATGCTAACGCTTCAGAGCATGGAGGGCGCGTCTTATGATGCGGAGAACGCGTCCCAAAGCTCGCACCACGAGACTGCGCGCTCACGAATGATCATCGGTCATCGTCACCGTCGTCATTGTCATTGTCGTCATCGTCATTGTCGTCATCATCATCGTCATCATTATCGTCATCATCGTCATTGTCATCATCATCGTCATCATCGTCGTCGTCATCATCGTCATCGTCGTCATCGTCGTCATCATCGTCATCGTCGTCATCGTCATCATCGTCATCATCGTCATCGTCGTCATCATCATCATCGTCATTGTCGTCATCATCATCGTCGTCATCGTCGTCATCATCATCGTCATCGTCATCATCATCGTCATCATCATCGTCATCATCGTCTCGCAGACGGCAGTTGGCTCCCCATTGCAATGCCGTCGTATTCCGCCGCGAGTGACTCGAACTCCTTTGGGCGACTCGAGCCTCAAGCGAGCGCCTCGTGCGAACGGTGCACCGCGCGTTGTGACGTCACGTGTGACGTCACCCGCGTCCGTGACGTCACGCGCGGGCGGCGTCCGTGACGACGGCGGCGGTTCGGCGAGCACGTGGCTCCTCCGCTCGTGCCCGCCTCACGAGCCGCTGCCAAGGCGGGCGTCGAGAGGTTTCTCGGTCACGCATTTAAGCGGCGCCTATTTATCTATTTATTGCGATCACCCTCGTCATTTTACGCAAGCGCATGCGGTCATTTTAGTTGTGTATATCCGCGCGCGTGTGCACGGGCGGGCGGGCGGGCGGGCGGGCGGCAGCTTCGTAGCCCTGTGCGCGTCGCTCTTCTTTAAAAAAAAACCGGAATGAGAATGTTTATTTATCCCCCCGGAAGAATCCGATGAGCTGTGAAGCTCTTTTGTTTTGCCACCGGACGGTCCACCAGGTTTTTTTTTTCTCCACTCGACGTCCGATAGACGTCCCGACCATGCGCGCACGGGGGCGCACCTCTCGGCAGCGTCTGCTTCACCTTTCATTCCCATTGTAACCCCGCCCGCCTGCCCGCCCGGTCACTGTCACGTCAGCACGGTTTTCTTGTTTGATCCGGTAACGTTATTTTATTCTAACCTTTCAGAGCCAGGATATTTATTACACGAGTAACTTATTTGCAGTGTGCGTGCGCGCGCGCGTGCGCGCGCGTGTGTGTGTGTGGTTTTATACAGAACGCGTCCGCCCGTCCGTGTGTGTTTGTGTGCGTTGGTGAATGTGACTGTGTGTAAACACACACGCGCGCGCGCGGTGTTTGTAGATAATAAAGCAGAGTTATTAATACGTCGACTGTACACGCTGTGCGTGCCTTTATTAACCCGGCGTAGGGGGCAGGGGGGGTCGGTCCAGCCTACAGCATGGCGACGCTCAAAATAACAGGACGTTGTATTTTATATTTCAAGCATCGACGCGGGCCCGTTTAACCACAGGCAGCCAGAACCGGCGCCAACAATTTCCCAAAGCACTGTGGGTCCTATAAGTGGGATGATTGGCCGGAACATGGAAATGAAAGTTCGTGCCACGAGGGCATGGCGATGATTGCCGCTGCCGCCACAGCTCCGTCAGCTGCTGCTGCTGTGTCATCCCACTGGAGAAAACGCGTGCGGTGACATTCAGGGCCTTGGTGTCGGCGCGCGATGGGGCGGCTCCTGCGAGTGAAAGCCGCCAAAACGGGACCTCGAACGTCGAGCGCGGGCGACAAGAGGCGACGCGTGGCACCATCGCGCCCAATTTGTAATCGCGACCGTGACCACCGTCGTATTAATCAGGGCGGCCGATTCCAACATCCCCCGCCGGCGGGTGGATTCGAACCGCGGCCCTCTCGCGCCACCACAAAGTTCCCCCCGGTGCTTGTGGTGCTTGTGGCCGGACCATTCCACCGCGCTGCAAGGTGATGCCCCTTCGAATCGAATTGCGGCGGGGGGGGGGGGGTGCAGACGGGAGGGATCACTGCGGGCGTTGGTGGCGGCTCGGGAGCTGTCGGATGCGTCCGAAACTCTCCGGAGGCCGGGAAGAAAAGGGAACCCTGCGGATCCTTGCCAAGGGCAGAACAGCAGGGACAGCGCTCACCATTGTAGCCAGTGGCTGGGTAAGCCAGCGCGGGGCCTGCAGCATTGCGTTATAAAGGGGCCCTAAATAAATACATAATATAGCTATATATATTTTACTTGCACGGTAAAGTCATTGTGTTTTTGGCGTTTGCTATACAGCCAGATAATACGACAGACCGCTAACTTTAAACACCCGGTCGTTGTTCATAAAAGTTGAAGGCGGTATAGTACTAAAGTAATAGAGCAAGTTGCAGTATCACCGGACCGGAATTGATAGCTTGAAAGCATTTAGCACGGTGGGGGGGGGGGGGGTGGCCTTGAAAGTGTGGGGCCCGTAGCTACTACATATGTAGTAGCTACTGCATGTGTAGTATGTAGTAGCTATGTGTAGTATGTAGTAGCTACTGCATGTGTAGTAGCTACTACACGTGTAGTAGCTACTATAGTAGTAGCTACTACAGCTATGTGTAGTATGTAGTAGCTATGTGTATTATGTAGTAGCTACTACATATGTAGTAGCTACTGCATGTGTAGTAGCTACTACATGTGTAGTATGTAGTAGCTATGTGTAGTATGTAGTAGCTACTGCATGTGTAGTAGCTACTACATATGTAGTAGCTACTGCGTGTGTAGTATGTAGTAGCTACTGCATGTGTAATAGCTACTACACGTGTAGTAGCTACTACACGTGTAGCTACATGTGTAGTGGCTACTACACATGTAGTAGCTACTACCCATGTAGTAGCTACTGCATACGCAGCTACTTGTGCTACGAGGATCATCCGGCGCTGCGTGTCGCCTGCAACAGAACTGTTGGAGCTCGTCCTGCCATTAGCGAGCACCAGCAGCAGCCCCTGTGGGCACACGACGGAGAGTGGGTGGTCGGTGCCCACGCCCGGCCGCCTTTGTCTCTCCCCGAGTGGCGATGTTTACCACACACCGCTCCGGGTCACTCATTTTGAAAGGGTTGAGTCGACTTAGGGTTGAGGGTCCCAGGAGCGGTTCAGATTAAATCGTCACCGCTGGTCGTGGCCGTGAGCGGGAATCGAACTTGGGTGACCGGGTCCGTAGCGCAATGCCGCACTGACCCCTACGCCACCGCTCTCAAAAGACGCAACAACAACCGCCATCCGCCACGAAGTGGCGGTGACGTGACCGCAGCGCGTTGTGCCAGGCTAGGTGCACGCTGAGGCCACGTGAAGTCTCGAACGCCCGCTGGCAGAAGGCCACCGGGCAGACCCAGGTGCCACGGGTCGACTGACTGAGATGACTGGCTGATGCACCACCTGTGCCCCCTACTGTGCCAATCTGCTGTGCTTTAGCCACCCGGCGCTCCGCTCGTTGTTGTGAGCGTCGCTCCTCCGCCCTCCGTTGTTGTTGGAGGACGACTGCCTCCAACTGCCCAGTAGCATCCTTCACGAGCCTCCTCCACAGAGGCCGATCTTGACACCGCTGGTACCAGTCATCGGCAAGTCCACTCAGCTCCACGTCCTCCCGTACCACGTCACTCCATCTCTTCTATAGCCCGTGCCGCGCCCGTTTAGGCCCCTCGATCCGGCCGAAACAGCTTTTGTTCGGCCGGATCGAGGGGCTAAACGGGCGCGGCACACACAGAAAACAACAACACAAGAACAAACGCCATTCGCCACTAAGTGGCGGTGACGTCACCACGACGCTTGTGCCAGGCCATGTGCACCATGAGGCCACGTGAAGTGTCGACCGCCCGCTGGCAGGAGGTCACGGGGCAGACCCAGGTGCCACAGACACACACACACACACAGACACACACACAGACACACACACACACAGACACACACACAGACACACACACACAGACACACATACACAGACACACACAGACACACACACAGACACACACACAGACACACACACAGACACAAGTCGGACGGATGTGCAGCTACCCCCTGCACGCTGCCCATCGTGTAAACATCGAGACGCCTTCACACCCACACCTCCCACACCGGGGATGAATCAAACAAAAAATTCCCGCACGGGTCATTTGCATAGCGCTTATCACGTGGTGGTGACGGCCACTCATTCGTATGAGCCAACAAAGTCAAACACCACCCCTCACCCCCCACACCCCAAATCAAAACAACAAATAAACAAAGACACAGATCCCCCGTGTAGCCTTCATTGCTGGGGGGCGCCAAGTGCTGTGAGCGAGTTCGCAGCATCACCCATTGAGACTCTTTAAAAGTAGCGAGCTCCTCCGAAGCATACAAAGAAGTCGCCTGTTGAGACTCTTTAAAGAGTAGCGAGCGCCACCGAAGCGTACAAAGAAGTCGCCTGTTGAGACTCTTTAAAGAGTAGCGAGCTCCTCCGTAGCGTACAAAGTAGTCGCCTGTTGAGACTCTTTAAAGAGTAGCGAGCGCCTCCGAAGCGTACAAAGTAGTCGCCTGTTGAGACTATTTAAAGAGTAGCGAGCGACTCCGAAGCGTACAAAGTAGTCGCCTGTTGAGACTCTTTAAAGAGTAGCGAGCTCCTCCGAAGCGTACAAAGTAGTCGCCTGTTGAGACTCTTTAAAGAGTAGCGAGCGCCTCCGAAGCGTACAAAGTAGTCGCCTGTTGAGACTCTTTAAAGAGTAGCGAGCTCAAGCGTACAAAGTATTCGCCTGTTGAGACTCTTTAAAGAGTAGCGAGCACCTCCGAAGCGTACAAAGTAGTCGCCTGTTGAGACTCTTTAAGAGTAGCGAGCGCCTCCGAAGCGTACAAAGTAGTCGCCTGTTGAGACTCTTTAAAGAGTAGCGAGCTCCTCCGAAGCGTACAAAGTAGTCGCCTGTTGAGACTCTTTAAAGAGTAGCGAGCGCCTCCGAAGCGTACAAAGTAGTCGCCTGTTGAGACTCTTTAAAGAGTAGCGAGCTCAAGCGTACAAAGTATTCGCATGTTGAGACTCTTTAAAGAGTAGCGAGCACCTCCGAAGCGTACAAAGTAGTCGCCTGTTGAGACTCTTTAAGAGTAGCGAGCGCCTCCGAAGCGTACAAAGTAGTCTCCTGTTGAGACTCTTTAAGAGTAGCGAGCGCCTCCGAAGCGTACAAAGTAGTCGCCTGTTGAGACTCTTT